TGAAATATAACCTTCATTAATTAGGGTCAACAGTAAATAATACTCAACTCCAAGGAAGTTTTGTGGTCATTTATTTATTTTTAAAATTCAACTTATCATAGATGCTGGGGGTGCTACAGCAGCCCCTGGCTTGAAGTGGTTTCCATTAAATACAGGGTTTACAGTTTGGCTCAATGGCTCTCAGCCCTCCCCTATAAAAAATTGTTCCATCTCCTCTGCAACTTATTCCCAAATAATTCCCAGAAATCACAAGGCACTCTTCAAAAGGGCACTGCAGTTCCTGCCTCAGAGGCCTGGTGAGGCAGGGAAGCAGGTTTTAGGAGGAGACGTTACAGGAAGTGAGCTTTTGAGTGTTTGTAGGTGTGGCTGGGTATGCTTGTGCCTGGGAAGGCAAATTTTGTGAGGGAAATGATGCTTCTTCTGACTAATGGCTACTAGGTCATCCCTGTGTTCCAGCTGCAGTGACAGGGCAGTAGAAATGGGTGAGGGTAGGGTTGTTTTTTTTCTAGGGGTGGGAGATTCAACTAGGGAGAGGAGTTGCCTTTTTTGAGCTGGAGCCCCCTTAGTGTAAAAGAAGTGGGTGATGGCACAACATTCTCTCGGAGGTATCCTTGAGTTTTGCAACCTAATCAGAGGGAGGGATAGCTTAGTGGGTTGAGCATTGGCCTGCTAACCCCAGGGTTGTGAGTTCAATCCTTGAGGGGGCCATTTAGGGATGTGGGGCAAAAATTGGGGATTGGTCCTGCTTTGAGCAGGGGGTTGGACTAGATGACCTCCTGAGGTCCCTTCCAACCCTGATATTCTATGATTCTATGTCCTTCCATATTGCGTCCCAAATAGCCCAGATTTGTTCACTTTCAGGGCATGTGCAATGTGCATTTGTTTACCAATGGGCAATGACACAAATGGGACTGAGGTTTTGAAGGGAGTTTTTTTCTCTCACTTTGATGTCATTGTTTATTTGGGATTGTAGGGAGCTGGGATAGCCTTCCTCCGAACCAGAGGGTAAAGAGCTACTCTCTCTGCCTGACTGGGCGGAGCCAGGCCAAGCTTACTCCATCCACCCCCTCCCCAGAAGGGGAGGGGTGGAACAGGAAGTACAAAAGGCAGAGCCCTTAGCCCAGTCAGGGCAGCACCAGGGGCCAGACACGGGGGGGGGCAGACACAGGCTGCTCCCTGTAGACCCTGCTGCTGAACCAGGGGAAAATTGACCCAGAGGAAGGACTTGGGCTACCAGGACTGCTGGCCACAAAGGAGCTGGAGGAGCCAGGCAGCAACCCAAGTCAGAGTGAGCCCAATGCTGAGCGTGAGCTGGGGCTACTGGCAGCTGAATACCCTGACAAGTTGGAGGAACCAGAGGGACCCACTTGAGAGACTGGATAGGAAGTAGCCCAGGGGTGGAACTGGACAGTGTGGTGAGTTAGTGTTTGATCAGCATGTTGCGGATGGATCCCTGCTCACCCAGTGGTGGGACACTCTCCTCCCGCCACTATCAGGGCCCTAGGCTGGAATGCAGTGGAGTCAGGTGGGCCTGTGTTCTGCTACCCCACCTCAGGGCGGCAGAACCCTGATAAAGAGTTAAGGACTCTGCCGGTGCTCCCCTGCCCGAGGGGTGTGTCATGGACTCTTGCTGGCGCTCCCCTGCCTGTGGGGTGTGCCACTGACTCTGGACAGGACTTCTGTGTCGCGCCAACTGTGACGGCACACCTCCCTCTGCTAATTTCTCATTGATGGAGAGGTGTGATCAAGGCCTTTTGGTGAGGCAGTAGCTCTCCACCGCCCCCCAGCAGTTTGGCAGACCAACTAAGATCTTGCTACAGGGAGCTTTAAAGTTTTCCAGGTGAGGAGTATTTACTGACTTTTACTTTTGACTTGATTGTATTTTTAATTTTGGGCAAAGGTGTCTAGAGCCCAGGGTTAGTGCTTTTATTTTATAACAAACTAAAACCCAAAATATATTTTAAAAATTCTGCACAAATCCATATATTTAATGGACAATTCTCAGCCATGGCTCCAGGCCATGCCAGTTGGGAATATAGCCCAACATGTTTAAACATCTTTGTAAGATGTAATTTGGTTAATGAGTGATTATTCATGTTGTACAGATTAATTTTATTTTAAATTAAAATGTCTACAATGACATCTATGTACAATAATATTTATCATGATAGTCCTTTAAAATCTATAAGAACCAGACTCAGTCCTGGCATAACTCCAGTGAAATTAGCAATATTTTACTGTTATGCCAGGATGAATATAATCCATGGTTTTTATTTGTTAAATCTGTTTGCTACTGTTTTCAAACAGCAGAAAATTTAGCCACCATGAATCCTTTGTGCATTGTTTAATCCTTTGTGCATTCATGCTAAAATAATATAGACTGATGCCACAGAATATTAACTGGGATTTTTAACATAGAGAAGGGACCAGGGGGCTCAGAGTGCTGGTATTAGCACAGTGAAACAGCAAGAACATTCTGAGTTAGTATCCTCTGTTGCCTGTACATAGTAATTGCAAGTTACTGCAGTTCATAGACAACACTGGCCTATCAAGAACAGGAATCGGAGAGCATGCAGCCATCAGCAGTTTCATGCAAATTACATAAATGTACATGTTAACTATCCCTATTTAGGAGAGAGAATCCTATAATTTTTTTAAGCAAAAATATATTTTTTTATCACATTGCTCCTCTGAAAAGCTCTTTGAGTCCAGTTTGTGTTTCAGTGGAGATAGGAACATAGCTTCAGTCTCCCCAAATGTTCCTCTTTATAGCTTTCATAGGTGTACATGAAGCAGTCCAAGAGTGTATCATCCACTTGATGCATATAGGGTAGCTCTCATTTTGTTCTGATCTCTGATGTTTAGAGATCATGTTGATAAAATAAGTGCCTTGGAAATTCCTAAGATCGACAGATTCAGGTATACAACAAAATGACCAAGCTAGTCACATAACTTAGACTGTTGCATGTAAAGAGTGAAGGTGCAGGTCCTTCCTTCTTAAATGCTTCAAGTTACTCTTGTTTGTAAGGAAGTATTTTTTTAGTACAACTGGAAGAGGAGCTAGAAATGTGGTGTAGGAACTGCACTGGCAAATTAAGTACAGATTTGTATTGTTCATGACACTGTAATTAGGCTGTCAGGATGTGACGAGTTACCTCTGAGCCAGAGCTGTGGTCTACACTACAAACTTCATTGGTATTACTATGTTGCTCGGGGTGTGGAAAATTAACACCCCTGAGCGACACCGTTATACTGACCTAACTCCCAGTGTAAACAGTGTTATGTCAAAGGGAGGTCTTCTCCTGTTGACTTATCCACCGCCTCTTAAGGAGGTGGAGTACCTACGCTCATGGGAGAAGCTGTGCTGCCGGTATAGGTAGCATATTCACTAAGTGTTACAGCTGTGCCGCTGCAGCCCTGTAAGTGTAGACAAGCCATGAGATTCTTAAACCTCTTATCTTTGAGCCTGCCTTCTTAAACCTGATGAATCCGTTACCTCTCAGCTTAAACCTGCTTAAGTCTCAGAGTCATCCCTGAGCCAGAGAGTGTGTGTACCCCCCCCCCCCCCCCCCCCCCCCCCCCCCCCCCCCCCCCCCCCCCCCCCCCCCCCCGCTCCCCGTCAGTCTTTCAGGTTAATTTAGGGATGGTTATTGAGTTTTCCCTTGTTATTTCTTTGACCTGAAGAAAAGTAAAATATTTTAAAGACCAGATCTCTGAAGTGGCTTTTTTTTTTTTAATTTAAGATGGAGCACTCATTCAGAGGACAGGTTTCAGAGCATTCTCATCAGAACTCATGCTCCCTCCATGAGGTCCACTCCTGTCATTGAACCACCCAAAACCACAGACAGCACCCACCCACAGAAGCCAGTGATCTTCTAGCTGGACTCCTTCACTTTCAGTAGAAGGTAAAAAAATTTTAGGTGATAAGAGAAAGAGAGGGAAAAAAAATATGATTAGAGGGGAATAAATGTCTGGAATTTATTCCTCTTGACTTTGGGCTTCTAATAAGCTGAACACCAAAAAAAAAAAAAGCAAAAGGGCCCACTTGGTCTGCGATGGCCTGCTGCTTTGTTACATTCTACAGTAAAAGTTTTCCAAGCTGAAACTAACATATTTTCCTTGTAATGATTGGGAAAACCAGTAATAAATTTAAGTGGGCTTTCTAGAGCCCTGAAGGAACCCTTTTGAAAATTGTCACCAAACTGAAGGAAGAAGTAGGGAGATTTCTCTGACTCTGATTTTAATCACCCTTGACAAAAATGCTTATTCTTGAATCCTGGGCCCCATAAATATACACTTTTTTGCCTTTGTAATGTTTCATATTGTGCTATTACATATTTCAAACATATCTGGGGGTGGTTAGGATGAGAACTCTTGGGACCTACCTCCAAGGTTTTCTCTTTTTCCCCGCCGATTTCGAATTGCACTTGATAGAATGATACTTATTGAATACTGTGCTGCATTGTCAATATACTGGGGATATATTTCAGCAATAATACATTTCTAGCAAAAGGGATAATATAAATTTAGGAAAGTGTTCATATACATTTATTCCCCAAGTGGCAAAACACAGTTTTCTTAAATTCTGGCAGGCTATTAGTTAAGTGGTGAGTAGATCCTTTTCCAATATATATGGTAGTCCTGGTCCTGTGAATTGAAGTAAAAGGGAGCTGTTGGCACTCAGCCATTTAAAGGAATGGGTTTCATATGTGTCATTGACTTGTCGGAGTCATATCCTAATTTAATTAATCTACATTATTTGGAGAAAATAGTTTACTTGGATGCTCTATTTTGAAACTAGAATTAATAAGAGAATCAGAATTGCTTCGGTTGTTGTAAGCTGTGGACTGATTGGGGTTAGATATCCTAGCAAAAGAGAAAATTTGCATCTTAAAGAACTATGGTCTCATTGAAATTCTTCTCATGTATAATTACAGAAAACTGAATAAAAAACTTTTAACAGTAAGCAACTGGCAGGCTCTTGTGACATTTCAAGCATGTTAAAATCAGAGAGAAATGGAGCTTTAGTCTCCTCCTCTTGCATTACGTCTTTATTTGAACAAGTATCCTGTTTCTGTTAGTTTCTTAAATGGTCTCAGGAGCTTATTTATGCCTGATCCAGACAAATTTTTAGCATATTTGTTGTGGAGAGTTTGTCAGAATGGCTGGCAGCGAAGAGACCCTTAAGAAAAAATTGCAAGATGAAAATGAAATTGCAGAAAGCCCCGAAACCAGGTAAAGTAACTTTGAGAATTTATACTAACAAACAATATCTTTATTTCACAAACCCTAAAACTAAGGACCTGATTCTGCTCCTGCTAAAGTCAATGTGAACCATATTCACTTAATGTTAACTTTACTATTTAATGCAGAATGACAAAAGTCCTTTGTTGAAACTAGAAAGCAAAGAAAACTGTGCCAATGATTCTGAATTGACAATCTCCTTTGCTAATCCATAGACTATCTGAATTTTATTGCTACTAGCATTATTCAGTTCAGACTATGTCCTATCCACAGTGTAATAATTATCAAAATTTTACCAATTCTGTTCTGGATCTCTGGATCACAGACTGTCCCTTTATAGTATTCTGTGCGTTTATTTATAAAAATAGTCAGTTTGCACAGTCTTTTTTTATTTGAACACCTGTGTCCAGTGGCATAGTGTTCACTGCATAAGACAGAAACCATTAAATCCAGAAATGGGTGTAGCAGTGATTTTGGGGGGTGGGGAAACAGTGATCTGAATACTGATGTGAAGATTTGTAGTTCTACAAAAATTGAAAACAGTTCTGTAAAAAAAGAGAGTATGGAGTTGAAAAATGGCTTAAAAGTTACTTCAGCCTTAGGGCAGCAGTCACTCTCAGCGTAATGTGACTTTTTTTTTTCTTCTCCTTCAGCATACATGTATGTAAAGCAAGGCAAATAGTACTGTAGAACTGGCAGCCTGCTCAGGGTGGGCAACAGCCAATATCCATTAATTTCAGAATCTCGAAATTAATTGTCTCGATTTTTTTTCCAATACATGAAAGAGCTTGGTTCCTGATAGATACCTTATTCTAGACTTACACTAAGCACTGACAAATCATTATCAGCACCTTAAAACCTTGTTTCAATAAGATTCATTTGTATTTCCCTTTTAAGGTTTATTTTTCTTCCCACCCCTTAAGTTCTTTATTTTTCATCTGGAATACATGACTGCTAATATTTCTAGAGGCAGAAGTAGTGGTTCTCTCTATTTCACAGTTGATATCAGAGTACCTGCTGTGGGTAGCTTAATGTAACTTGTGTTTTTAAATTTGTACATAAGTGAGTAAGGTAGAATCCTGACTCTGTTGAAGTCAGTGGAAGTTTTGGCATTGACTTAATAGGGACAGAATTTCACCCCAATCTGCCATGGAAACAAGCACTTGGTTAAATATAATTTGAAGGAAATTCAGGTTAGGAACCTATCAGTGGACTTAAATATTCCAAGCTGGTATTAGACGTGTCACATGAAGGACTTAGTCTCAAGGGTGGATGAAATCACCATCCAGACACACCATTCTCAATACGCTCCTTATTAGCCAACCTATTGGTGCAATGTGTTTAAAACCTTATTTCATATTAAACATTAAAGACTTTTCGCAAAAAGGCTATCTTTATTACATTCAAAATATTTACCCATGTTCCATCAAGATGCAGAGGACTTAGGAGTCAGTAAATAAACCATAGGTGCAGGTCTATTACAAATGTACCAAACAAATGGCCCAAAATCCAGAAAATATAACTCGGTGCATAAAAACATAACAGCCATCCTGGGTCAGACCAGTATCCTGTCTTCTGACAGGCCAGTGCCAGATGCTTCAGAAAGAATGAACAGAACAGGTCAATTATTGAGTGATCCATATCCTGTCATCTAGTGCCGACTTCTGGCAATGGAAAGCAACTCAGTACATTGCATTGTAAAAAAAACAAAACAAAAAACTTCTCCACAAGCAATAGCTTAGTCTAGCAGTTCTAAAAACTGAATTATGATTCAGACGGTCAACTGCAGAAATTCATGGCTAACTGCTACACAAAAGTATATAATTCTATGTGAAATTCCCAGATAAAAAATTTCAGTAAAATGGAAATAAGTTTGTATAATTAATTTGTTAAAAAAATCGTTATTAGAACCTTGCACTGAAAATCTTCTGACTTTTTGACCATTTAATGAGGTTAAACCCAACTCCCAAGTGCCTGGAAATGCACAGGTAAAACAGTCCAGAAACCCTTAACTGTGCTCCTGTACCATTTTCATGTATCTTTGATTTATATACTAGCAGCTGGGAATATTTTGAATCCCTCCTATTCCACTCTGGGCTGTGAGAAGTCCATATTTAGGAGTGTAGACCTATTCAAATCAGAAAGTTATGTGAAATGTAAATATGGACTTTTGGAAATATCCAGATTGTGACTGTGGATAACCTGAACTAGGCCTTTCCCCTCTTGCCTGTTTAGATGAATGAGCCCTGATTTTGGTTTGTATTCAGCAATGCAGTTAAGTTCACGTTTAACATTACAGTCAATGGGACTTAAGTACATACTTAAATGTAAGTGTGTGTTTAAGAGCTTTGCTGAACTGGGGCCTCTGTGAGCGTCCACAGAGTGGATGGGTAACTGCATGATTTTCTGAGTGTTATGATGTGTGACTAACAGGATGCAGTATTGCCAGCTCTTGTTTTTGTTTTGTTTTGGTCACAACTCTAGCAATTTTGGGATTTTTTTTTAACCTTTCATGTAAAAACATGAAGAAAGGTTGCTAACTCATGAATTTTCACATATTCAAAATGGCTACCACCTCCTATTACTGTCAATGGGGCTGAAGCCAGCAAGATGGCCACCATTTCCTAGCTGGTTATCAGCTTGTGGAAGTGAGGCTGCCCTTAATAAAGTTGTCTGTCACCTCTTGCTGTTTTCAGTGAGATTGAAGCTATGCTCACAGGTAAAATGGCTGTCACTGTATAGTTTAGGGGGCTAGACAGGACATGGACTGTGAGGAGGTGCAGAGCCACTGAAAAGTGAATGAGGGGAAGGGGTCACTGGGAAGAGCAAGAGGCAGATTTAGGGGTTGCAGCAGAATGATGCAGGGGTATGTGGGGCAGGAAGGAGGCTGAGAAGTTGTTGTGCAGAGAACGATGAGGGAGGTGTGAAATAAAAGGGATTGGGTGCCAGGTTTCATAGCATGGAGGTGGAGGCAGGTAAAGGAAGTCCCCTCCGAGCAGCCAGGGGAAGGCACATTGCCAACTCTTGCAAATTGATCACAAGTCATGGGATTTTTAGTAGACTGGCACCTAGATCACTGCCTGCAGTAGAACAGGAGCAGACAGACTGATCCATCTCTTGGATGGGAAATTGCATACGAGAAAAGAGACAAGGGCATCGTAAGAATTTTACCTCAGGTTTATTAATTTTAGTTCACCAGTCTCTGTTTTATGACTTGTTACTATGATTTCATGGGGAAATTTGAAACTTAATTTAAGAGAAGATTGTGAAATGAGTGACATTTACTAGAAGTTTGTTGTGTCCCACTAAAGATGGTGGACTGTTCCAACTATTATTAGTCATTACCTCTTTTCCTGTCTGATCAGAGCAGAAGGGAATGATTACAACTGTTACTATTACTGTAATGAGGCTCTTCCCAGTGACCCCTTCTCTTTCTCCAGACTCTTTGGAAATGTGTGTAATAATTATTAGTAATGTCTCCCAACAGTTATGGGTTCCATGGGACTGTCCCACTTTGACCCACTAAACCCCATGTCCTAGTTGAAGTAGATCATTTCCTGCATTCAGTGGCACCCACAGCCGTACATATGGTGTGCATCATTGGCAGGGGCAGAGCTAGAGAGGGCAGCGGATTCAGCTGCTCCTGGGCATGTTCAGCCTCCTTGGGCATGTTCAATGGCTGTAGGGAGCTCAGGAATGGGAAATGACATTGCACCTGCTTGGGCTGGAAGGTGGAGGCTGACTGTGGCATGGGCATGATAAAGGAGGCACTGGGACCAGGGGCTGCAGAGGAGATGGGCCCACAGGGATTGACAGTGACCAAATCCTGCTTGGATTGGAAAGGTTGGGAGGTATGTAATATAAGCACAAACCACACTGTAGACGTTTTCTTAACATAGTGTTCATATTATTACAATTTTAGTATTTTCTGTAAAGTCCATTACTGTAACCGCTAAAGGCTTAAAATAAAGTGGCAAGAACACCATGAATGTGAGTTCCAGCAGTACATCTTATTAGAACAACGGCCTCACCTTTTCTGTAAAAATGAAATTGGATTTTATATTTCCTGTCATCCACTTTACATAAGTGTAAAACTCTAGATGATAACTTGTGTGTCCAGGTAGACTTGCTTTATGATCAAAGGTAATTTCGTTAATTTGGGCCATTTTCAGGCTAGTGCCTTCTTGTATCAAGGATAATATGTATTCAGAAAGTATTATACATTCTCATAAGGGCAAACGTATACATTAGCCTTTTGCGCTGATGAATAATATTGATAACCTCTTCAATTGAATTGACTTCTTCTCGAATCTTAACGTAGCTAAAACAGGAATTTCTCTCTTAAATTATATTTTGTCCAAAAATGAAAATCAGAGGTTTGACACTTGTGTAAATATCCATATTATAGGTTACTCATAAAATCTGTGCTTTCTGCAAATTACAGATAAAGACTCTTGTTCAATCTTTGCATACTTTTACTCAGCAGATGTCCGGGATGTTGATACATAAGCAAAGAAATTTTGTTCACAGTGGTCAATAGATATATGCTAAAGGAGATGATGAATCAAGAGAAAAGATGCTGATCTGTGACTTTTGGACTTTAGGGGGGCAGTTTAAGCCTCTCAAATTTTGCTTTCATTTTAGTAAAGGGGAGTTTTGCTTGATTTTTAGTTTTTTTTTTTTTTTTCCTGTTAAAAGGATATTGGTGACAGTCGTCTCAAATACTTGAGATACATATGCTTCTGTGGTGACACTTACTTATAAAGAAACTGGCATAGTACTTTGATCCCATCAAACAGTGCCACCTATATATAGGCTTGAGTTTGGGCAGTTAAATTATATCCATAGCTGTGTGTGTGTGCTGGACACAGGATTCTAGGCTTATATGGTATCCAGAACTCTGATATTAAGGAAGATGAAAGTGCAGAATTTGTGGAGGGAAAAATACCTTCTGTGACATGTTTTTGAGTCTGGAAACTGGGCTGCAGTTACTTGAAAATGGATGGGGAAGAGAGAAAAAGTATTATAACTTCTGTATAGCCATTTGTAGAGAGTACAATGAGGCTGAGTTGGATAGAATTCATCACTGGAAAGTCTCCACTGGAGAGCTGGATTTCTGCTGCATAGGTCAGAAGGGAGCAAGCCAGTTTATTACAAGATCATTCTAGAGTTGTGTCATATACTTTATCGTCTGAATAAAGCCTTTTTTGACTAAAAGGCTTGATGCATTATTTCTTTTCCATGCTCTCATATAGTTTTTAATAATGTACTAAATTTGTCTGCTTACCAAACTAAAAGGAAAAGAATCAACTTATTTTTAATTATATTTAGTCACTAAAAAAGAGATTTTGGTCCTTTTCTTGCAAATCAAGATAGGCTATTGTTGGCAGCAGGAGCATAGATTTGGGGGGGTATGTAGAGGTGTTGTCCCCCCCACCCCCAAACTATATACAATTTTTGTTTTAGTAGTTTACAATTCAGATTTGATTCCTAATGTGAGGTAGAGCCCTGCAGTGGGACTGGGATCCCATGGGTCTTGCAGGACCTGCTGCCATAATAGCAGGAGCAGGATAAAAATTCAAGAAACAATCCGGGAATGGGTGGGAGTGGGTATTGGGTGGGGGGCTGGGGCTGGGAGTGGGATTAAAAATATAATCCTCCCATGCCACAAACACATGAACATCCCAGCCAGCAGCCACCACTTTCCAGCCACCCAGCTCTGAATTTCTGCTGCCCTTCAGAGCAGGGTGGCTGGGGAGGGGTGGCTCCTGGCCCCCCCCAAATATAGAAGTCAAACTATGCCTGTGATTAGCAGCCTCCCTTTTATAAAAGCTATTAGCTACTTGTGAACTTTAGTAGGCAGTAATTTTTTTATTTTATTTTGTTCTTTAAGCTTAATGTAGCTTTTACATTGCATCCGATGAAGTGAGCTGTAGCTGACAAAAGCTTATGCTCAAATTTGTTAGTCTCTAAAGGTGCCACAAGTACTCCTTTTCTTTTTACATTACATTAGTAGTTTGAGAAAGTTTGTTTCAGTATTTATGAAAAACAAGTTTGCACAGTCAGCGATAAATAGCTACTACTACTAGCTTGTAAATAAGCTGAGCCTGTTGACAGGATTAGTAGGTGTGGCTATTTGGACTAGTGCAAGTGTGAGAGAAATCTGTTTAGCATAATTTTGTCTCCTCCATAGAAAGGTAGCCTGGATTTCTTATAATTTATCTTGTGGCCAACGTGGTTTCCTCTGTTACATTTGTGACATTGCACTCCCTGTGTTTTATGGAAATATGCTTATGAGTGTGAATATGATGTAACTGGAATATGCTTTATGCAAAAGGTCTCTTGTAAGGTATCATAACAAAGGTTATAATCTACTGAATATATTCCTCCTATTTGTATATAGGTATTATTCTTGGATCTGAAGCTAAAAATATGAAGTATAACTCTGAGGTTCTATTGTAATTATGCAAAGGCTGGCCCATTAATGGTGGTTTAAATCTTGATGGCTCCCATTGACCAGGACAATTGGTTGTAAACGGCTCTGTTTACTTACAAACCTTCCAGTGTACATGGGGGGCCAGCCCAGGAAGAATGGAGGCTGGAGTCTCACAGGACATGTGATCATGTCACCTCATACTGGAATCTATCCTAAATCTGGTACTTTTCCATTTAGGAGGGGTGGGGACCCAGAGAGACAAAAGATTGCCACCTTGTGACAAAACCATAAAAAGGGGTGAAGCAGGACAGAGGTGGCTGCAAGTCTTGAGAACACCCCTGCTTTCCACCTAAGATGTCTGCTGGAACTAACAAGGACTGTACCAGGGGAAAGGATTGGGCCCAGACTAGGAAGGAGTCTAGTCTGTGAAAGAAGCTTATTGGAACATCTCTGAGGGTGAGATATTATCTGTAATCAGTTTCTTAATGTATTAGGCTTAGACTTGCATGTTTTTGCTTTATTTTGCTTGGTGACTTACTTTGTTCTGTCATTACTTGAAACCACTTAAATCCTACTTTTTATATTTAATAAAATCACGTTTTTGTTTGTTAATGAACCCAGAGTAAGAGATTAATATCTGGGGGAGCAAACAGCTGTGCATCTCTACCAGTGTTATAGAGGGTGGAAAATTTGAGTTTACCCTGTATAAGCTTTATACAGAGTAAAACGGATTTATTTGGGGTTTGGATCCCATTGGGAACTGGGTGTCTGGGTGCTGGAGCTAGGTGACCTTCTGATCTGTTTTCACTTAAAGCCCGCAGCTTTGCGGGCATGGACCACACCTGGGTCTGTGTTTCAGCAGGCTAGCGTGTCTGGCTCAACATGACAGGGTTTTGGAGTCCCAAGCTGGCAGGGGAAATGTGCTCAGAGGTAATCTCAGCACTTCAGGTGACAGTTCCAAGGGGGTCTCTGTGACCAAACCCATCACAACATTATTTATGTCCATTGAGTTCAGTCACTGGCACAAGTGGGTGCATTATCTGGTACTAAAACTCATTTTAGTGATGGCGGGTTTTTTTCTTCTTCACATATTTCTGTATACCCTGTGATGAGACACAGAGGTTATACAACTCAGGGAGCTTCAGGGCCATATTCTCATCTTGCATTGATGTAAAGCTAGGGTGACTCCGCTGTCTTGAGTGTTTAGAATTCTTACTGCAAACTTGTGGTCTTTAAACCACAGCCCTTGCAGGAGGGGCTAACATTACAACAGGAATTACCAAAAAGAATTCAAGATAATTCAGCCACATTTCTTCCTGGAATTGCACCTTGCACTACTTGCACCTGCATAAGGAGGGCACAATTGAGCCCTTAACATAATATAAATTAAAGATATCCGCATGTTTGCATATTTATTTAATGTACCTAAGGGCTCAATCCTGTCTCAGTGGCAGTTGAGAATGTTTAGTACCTAATAGTAAAGTTGGGTGAAACTTTTTTGGTGAATAGCAATTTCACCAAAAAATGCATTGTCACAGGGTAGCACTGGCCTTTTGACTCATCAACTGCTTCCCAGTTGGGTTTCAAGGGATGGCATCTGAGCCATAAAAATGGGGAAAGAGATAGTGGAGAGTTCAGTCTAGAGAAGTGCACATGAGAGCTTCAATGGGGTGAGAGATTAGCAAGTGAGAGCCAGGAAACTATAGAAAGAAGCTGCAGGAGGCTCCTGGGGGAAAGCTGAAGGTAGAAGAGCAGCAGAGGGGTTTGCTGGTGGATCCCCCTTAACCAGGGGCTGGCCAACTAGGGCTGGAGATGGCTGAAGGCCAGAGAGCAGCAGAGGAAGTTGCCTGCTGACTTCTAAGCTGGAGAGCCAAAGCTGAGTGCCAGAGAGGGCTGATGGCAGAGACCAGTGAAGGAGACATCAGTGGATAAATCCCGTGCTGGAGAGCTGAAGGCCAGGGAGGGTGAGGGATGCTCCCCTGGTGAGAATGAACTCCAGCAGAGAGGCTGTGGTCATTCCTGCTGGGAACAGCAGGAGTTGTGATGCATCTGGAAGGCCTGAGGTGGCTGTCCTGCTGCACCCCCTGGCTTGAAGTGGTTCCATTATATACAGGGTTTACAGTTTGGTTTAATGGCTCTCAGCACCCCAGCTATAAAAAATGGTTTCAGCACTCCTGGTCCTGATTGAAAGATAGGAGAGGACCAAAGAAGTGCCCACCTGTGGTGGAAGATGCTGGAGCATGCTAGGTGCTTTGTCCAGGGCTGGCCTTATGGGTGGGTGGCTGTCCTGGGCACAATGGTCAGGTAGTGCTGTGGTCCAGAAGCAAGATTGGGGTGGACCTTGGTTGCAAGGCTGTGGAAGGGAGCTTAGTGCAATGGGGCAGGGGAAGCAGTGGGGCCTGGGGACAATAGAGGGTTGGGGAGCCCAAGGAGGCTGTGGAGGTTAGGGAGGGGATGGGTGGGGAGCCCACAGAGCTTAATTTGTTCCAGGGCTGAGCCCTGGCACCTCTAGGCTTGGCAGTCAGCCCCAGCACCTCTGGGCTTGTCATGTCAGTTACACATCACTCAGTGGCCAGAGGAACTTCCTGAGCTCTGGCACCTCTTGCATTACAAATTAATCACTGGGATCCAGGGAGTTATCTTGGGCCAGGGGGGATGGGTGGGGAGCAGGGATGATGTGTGGGGCCAGGGGCAATGGCTGGGGGACTGAAGGAGGCAGCAGGGGTTGAAGGCAATGGGGGGGATGGGTGGAGAGGATGGGTGGGGAGCCTAGGGAGACAACGGGAGCAGGGTGGGTGGGTGGGGAATTCAGGGAGGTAGTGGGGGCTAGGGATGATGGGGGGTGGGGTAGGTGGGAACCTGGGAAGGCAGAGGGGGCTGGTGCACCAAAATGCAAGTTCGCCCAGGATGCCATTTTTCTCTGAGGTCAGCCCTGGCTTTATCAATAGTGTAAAGATTGTGGGATTTTAAGGACTGCATAAACTGGGTGTGAGAAATGGACTATGTCTGGGACTTTTAGTAATAAGTTGGTCCCAAAGAGGGAAAGTATTGAGACAAGAGAGCTGTTGTGGAGTTACTGGGGACTCTGAAGAAAAGGCAACTAAGGAAGTCCTTTGTTCTGCCACAACAGGGCACTTCAGGCAGGCCTGCCTTATTACATGCATTTTGGGGGGCATTGAATCTTATCCGCATTTTGGGTCAAATTTGGCAAATATTTTTGGCTGAAAAAAACTGGGAAGAAAAATTTCAGAAATGTCAAAAGGTTGGTTCCCCCCCTCCCCCAACATTTTTCTAAATGGACTTCTTTGACAATGTCGATTTAAAATCAATCAGAACGTTTTGTTTGACCCAAATATTTTTTGGTTTTGTTTCTCCAAAGTTTTTCTTTAAATCCAGTTTTGGTTTGAAACTAACCAAAAATTTTCTTTTTAATTTTTCTGTTCGACCACCGAACCAAAAAATCAATTATTTGCTCAGCCCTATCTAGTGGGAGGCACTACAGACCTTGCAGGTTTGGCCCCAGATATTCTACCTGAATCTATTGGACTGTGAATAGTGGAATGTACTTAGAAAATAAATGTTGGGGAATGTATATACTAGGAGCTTAACTGATGTTCAATGATATCTTCTTAACAATTGATCTTTTGCTGTGTTAGGACATGCTGGCCAGGGAAATTGGGTTCATGAGAGCATCTTTTTCATGTATTCTAGTATTGGTCTCTTAAATCATTTTGGTTTTTGAACAGTTTGAGAGACTTAGTATTTCAAATTGTCCTCAAGAGAAGTAAGCAGTTGGATAGGAAAGCCATGTTTGATCAAAAAGTTCTGTAGTGGATAAAAATGGCATAAACTAATTTAGTTTAATTCATTACTAGGCAAATTATACACACATGTTCATTTATGCCAGGAGCGCCACTGAAGGCAACAGGAATTCACATATGAAGAAACTATTTGCATAAGTAAAAGTTTGCAGGATTCAGTCCTAAATTACTAAAGACAAAAAAGTAGACATTGCACAATAATTCAGGTATGATAAGGGAGTGGAGTGATTAATGCAGAGGAGGTACACCTACTGTTAACAATAAATAGCAATCAGTAGTCAAAAGCTTACTGCCTTTAGGAAAGCAGATTGTAGAGTGAGACCTTAAATGAGCTAGCAGCAAGAGCTGCTGAGTAAATGAAAGAGCTGCTGCACACTGTGGAACCTGATGTGGGGAAAACACAAGCAAATCTTTCAGAGTGGAGAAGCAGCTGCCCCCAGGAGGAGCAAATGGAATCACTTCTAGAAGAAACACGTGAGTGATAGAAGAAATTTAACTGGGAGACAAAAAGAAAAGGAGTACTTGTGGTACCTTAGAGACTAACCAATTTATTTGAGCATGAGCTTTCGTGAGCGACAGCTCACTTCATCGGATGCATACCGTGGAAACTGCAGCAGACTTTATATATACACAGAGAATATGAAACAATACCTCCTCCCACCCCACTGTCCTGCTGGTAATAGCTTATCTAAAGTGATCATCAGGTGGGCCATTTCCAGCACAAATCCAGGTTTTCTCACCCTCCACCCCCCCACACAAATTCACTCTCCTGCTGGTGCTAGTGAGCTGTAGCTCACGAAAGCTCATGCTCAAATAAATTGGTTAGTCTCTAAGGTGCCACAAGTACTCCTTTTCTTTTTGCGAATACAGACTAACACGGCTGTTACTCTGAAAACTGGGAGACAGACACCCCACACTAGAGGTTCGCACATTCCATCTTAACCCATCTTCAGGGTAATGTAATTTTAATACAAAACAAACAAACAAAAAATCCCTACACTAGTACAAGGATAAGTTTCAGAGTAACAGCCGTGTTAGTCTGTATTCGCAAAAAGAAAAGGAGTACTTGTGGCACCTTAGAGACTAACCAATTTATTTGAGCATAAGCTTTCGTGAGCTACAGCTCACTTCATCGCATGCATACTGTGGAAAGTACAGAAGATCTTTTTATACACCCAAACCATGAAAAAATGGGTGTTTACCACTACAAAAGGCTTTCTCTCCCCCCACCCCACTCTCCTGCTGGTAATAGCTTATCTAAAGTGATCACTCTCCTTACAATGTGTATGATAATCAAGTTATCTCACAAATCTTGGGAGACAGGCCAGTCCTTGCCTACAGATAGCCCCCCAACCTGAAGCAAATGCTCGCCAGCAATCACATATCACACAACAGAACCACTAACCCAGGAACCTATCCTTGCAACAAAGCCCGTTGCCAACTGCCCACATATCTATTCAGGGGACACCATCACAGGTCCTAATAACATCAGCCACACTATCAGAGGCTCGTTCACCTGCACGTTCACCAATGTGATATATGCCATCATGTGCCAGCAATGCTCCTCTGCCATGTACATTGGTCAGACTGGACAGTCTCTACGTAAAAGAATAAATGGACACAAATCAGATGTCAAGAATTATAACATTCATAAACCAGTCGGAGAACACTTCAATCTCTCTGGTCATGCGATTACAGACATGAAAGTTGCAATATTACAACAGAAAAACTTCAAAACCAGACTCCAGCGAGAGACTGTTGAATTGGAATTCATTTGCAAATTGGATACTATTAACTTAGGCTTGAATAGAGACTGGAAGTGGCTAAGTCATTGTGCAAGGTAACCTATTTCCCTTGTTTTTTCCTACCCGCTTCCCTCCCTCCCCCCCCCCCCCCCCCCGACATTCTTGTTAAACCCTGGATTTGTGCTGGAAATGGCCCACCTCGATTATCATACACATTGTAAGGAGAGTGATCACTTTAGATAAGCTATTACCAGCAGGAGAGTGGGGTGGGGGAGAGAAAACCTTTTGTAGTGGTAAACACCCATTTTTTCATGGTTTGGGTGTATAAAAAGATCTTCTGTACTTTCCACAGTATGCATGTGATGAAGTGAGCTGTAGCTCACGAAAGCTTATGCTCAAATAAATTGGTTAGTCTCTAAGGTGCCACTCATGCATTGTTGGGTTTTTTTGGGGTCATTTGACTTTTAAAACAAAATTATTATGTTGTGTGGGGTGGAGAGTGCTTCCAGTGTTCCTGCAGTGGTGGAGGGAGGTGCTAAGCCTGTACAGTTCATACTGCTTTCAGGGCGTGTGTGTGTGTGTGTGTGTGTGTGTGCATATACAGAGGAATGGGTTTTTGCTACTCCTTTTAAAAAAAAACTAGCCTGTGTTTCCCTCCATGCTCTCCTCGTGGCTCTGTCCAGAGGCTAAGAATGGAGTAGGGTTAAGAGATTCTTAGTAACACAGTTCAGTTTAGAATTTGAAATATTAATAAAATCGGAAATACACAAAGCTATTTAAAAATTCTCTGTAATATTACATTGTGTAGTCAGTCACTTCTAAAGCAGGGGTTCTCACAACAAATTTTTTGGTGGCCTCAAAATGCAGCCACCAACTCTTGCTGGTGGCAGCTCTGACAATTTTTCCTAAAATTCTTAATTAACTTTAGGAAAAACAAATAAATAGGCATACATATACGTGTCCAAATCATTATAATTTATTTATGTAGGGTATTTTTTGAAGGCTTAATAATAAAAATATGCAGTTATCTTTAGTCTTCACTGAACCTAAACAGAATAGAAACACAAATAAGGTGCATTGCACATTCTTGTCTTTTGTTGTTTTGTTGCTTTTTTTAAACTTGCTAGCTGGTAAGTCTGCTGCTGTGAAAATTGATATTTGTATGTTCCTTTTCACAGCCTCCCATCTAGCTACTAAGTCTGCTGTGAAGAGAGAGATTAACAAACATACAAATATCCATTTTCACAAGCAGACTTACTCAGCCCCATCAAGGTGGGGACAAATTAAGCCCTGGATGGGGAGGTGGGTAGGGAGGCAGCAGGGTTATGGGGGGATGAATGAAGGGTCAGAGGAGGCAGCGAGGGCTAGGAGCGATGGGGTGGGGTGGTGAGCCAAGGGCTGGTACCTGTGGTTGGGGTCCGGATCCTGGGATCCCATGGCTGTGGATGGGGCCTGTGCCTGAAGGAGACCAGAGGTGATGCTGGGAGGGGTGACCCCAGGGCCAGCACTGTGGCTCCTGCCACCATGTGGCCAGGGCTCCACACCCGGAGCCTACTACCACAGAGCTGAAGCCCGAGTTCACTGTCCCCAGGAAGGTGGGGAATTCACACCAGCTGCCTGCTCCTCTGGTGTTTGTGGCTCCAGAGGGGGGCAGGGGCCAACCCCTGCTTGTGGCCCTGGAGGAGGAGCCATTGCTTTGCCCCCGCAAATCACCACCCAGAAATCTGTGACTGCAGAAAAACCACTGGTGGCTGAATTTGAGAAACACTGTTCTAAAGGCTCCACTCATTGACCATTAAGAGGTCTGCTCATGGAGACTCTGCAGGCTGCTGAGGTTTAGCTACTACATAAGCTCTTTCTCAGTGATGGGAATCCTGCACTGCTGCCTGGAATATCTGGCAGTAGGAGAAAAGTAATACTGGCATTATTCTAATGTTTCTAAAACCATTTTAGTAATGTTCATGAATCATTGGACACCAAAGCTTTTTGCTCCCAATTTGGATTGTCGGTGGGTTTTTTTTTTAAAGTATAAACATGAGCATTGTTGATAACATCAATTTTTACAAAGTACTGCACTATACCAACTATGCCAGCCAGCAGATCTGGCTAGGCACACAGGAGAGCAGATGCTGCAACTTCTCCAAGTGTGATGCAATGGGCTTGATTCTCCAGTGCCTTGCAGCTTGTGCCATCATTTACACCTGTGCAACATGGGCATAAAAAGCTCCCAAATTCAAAGCCTCCACTCATTTACAATGCTATCACTGGTGTAATGATGGGAGAATTCTGATTCTATAGCATTGTGCATCCACCTGGCACAAACATCAAGAACTACACAAGTGTGATGCAATGGAGGACCCGTCTCATTGTGCCTGAGTCAGCCTCCTGGAGAAGGGACTTAAAGGTTCAAACAACCCTTAATACTTGAAGTAGCCAGCTGGTTTTTGTTCCAGTGGCCATTGTGTTTTATGTGTGTGCAAAGGCAAGTATAGAGTATACGTTGTTTGCAACCCTGCAACAAACTTCTGTGGAGGGGTGAATTTCATCCTTGTGATAAAGATTCTGTTGCTTTGACAAAGATTTTTTTTTTTAATTGTTTGTACCAGGTGCTAGATTAATAGTATTTGGAACTAAGAGTCTCTGCCCCTTGTTTTTAATCCCTTTAACAGATATAGTACAGATATCAGCAGTGAAATCTTCCACATACTGTATTACCAACATGCTCACAATTTATACTTGTACAATTCATGTCCGTTCTGCTGTGACTGCCAACAACAGGTCAATTAGTGCCCAGCGTAATGATATATTTGATATTAACTTTATTCAGTAGATTTGGACTGAGATTTCATAATCTAACCCATGTGAAATGAGAGTATCAGCCATCAGATAAGAAATGCTTTCAGTCACTAGTGTGGTCATATTGAAACAGTGACCAAGAGGTGAAAAGGCTCCCCATTCCCAGGAGCCATATAATCTCTCCCTTTTGTAGTATGTAGTATTTACTAGCTGACTTTTAAAGTTACTCTATAGATAACTTTTTTATAACTGTGTCTTTTGTCTTAGAACACTGACCAATAAACTGAAAATCTCAAAAGAATCACTAACTTATTCTGAGAAGATCCAAGATAAAGGCAAAGAACCCCCAGGTAAGCAAATAAAGGACATTTGTTTGAAAACTTGGGACATTACTGCTTGTTTCATTTGTTCCAGTGATAGTAGTGACTGGAGAAGTCATGATATTCTGCATGATTTATTAAACAGGGAAGAAACCTGAATTGAGAGAGAAATTTGCATTAATAGCATATTATGGGTAGTGGTAGCTGCTCCATATTTAAGGGATCCTTTTCTAGTAATCTCCTACTAGTGTGTTCATTTGGCCTTTGTATATTCTTGCAGATTGTACTGAATAAAGTTCATGGCTGGGTGTCACATGCATGGCTGATGGGATGGTGAGGAGTGATGAAGAATGAAAATAAAACTTTAACTGTGGTAAATCAGGGTGACTCAAAACTGCTGGGAGGCTTGTGTAAACCCATGTGACCTGACCAATTTCACCAGGCTGCAGAGTGGCCTTCGTCTGGCTTTGGGAGAATTACTACTTAAAAATGAAAAAATTAATCTAATTGTAGGCAGAATCTCACAAGGGTCCCCTGTTAGCTTTGCCGCTGCAGCCTGTTCACAAGTTTTGAAATAATAGGAACCCTTACAGAATTGTATGTATTAGGCAATAACAGTAGACTGTAAGATGAAGAAATGGAGGTGCTCCACAGGAATTTTGTAAGCAGATTTTTAGCTACAGAAAAGCCATTCTAGGCTCACAGAAAAAGGTTTTTATTTAACAAAGGCATGGACAGCTGGCAGATTCATTCTGTAAAGCCAATTACAAATTAGAATAGTCAAATGTGGTCGCTAATTGTCCAATGTTCAGAGTTCAGAAATATTTGATAGGACCTTTTGGGGGACACATTACATGTATTGATAGTTACTAAGGCTCTGATTCGGCTAAGTACTTGACATGCACCTGACTTTAAGCACGAGTTGTCCAAATACTTTACTGAATCAGGGCCTTATGTAAGTTTTTGTTAACTTTGTTTTGCCATTTTGTGTCAATGAACCTATAGCAGGGTCCAGAGTCCATGTTAACTTTCTGCTTGACAGATAACAAACTTCGTGTTTTGAGATCATACACAAGTACAAGTGCTGAGTCACAAGGGAAGGTTGGGGACTGAATGCTCAAGAATGTTCTCAGAAGTTATATAGGAAATAACTATAATGACAGTCACATGGTCAGAGAAGAAAGCCTTTAAGAAGGGAGAGCACCACACCCAGTTGTTACTCTCTAGGTATACAACCTAGTCCTAGACAGTAGGAGGGAATCCTGTTTGTTTTTTAGTAGAGAGTTTTTCTTTTGTTGTAATCGGTGGACACTGAAGTTTAGAAATATAACCTTGAGGGATAAAACTGCTGATTAAAAGATGGATTCATTTTTTATTACTGAGCCAGCAGATCCACTCTATCCTGTCTACAGTATGGGGCCAGGCCCAGATTCTGATATCCACTGAACCGATATAAATCCAAGTAACTCCACTGAAGTCAGTGAGAGTTGCTTACTGGTTTAAAACTTACGTAAGTAGAATGAGAATGGGGTCCAATTCTAACATAATTGGTCTGATTCTCCTCTCATGAATGCCAGTTTTACATTGGTGCAACATAACTGACTTTAGTGGAGTGACTACTGATTTACCTCAGTTGTAAGAAGCCATCCAAATTGACTAATATAATATTATAAGATTTGTTTTTAACTTATTTGCATCCCTTCCCAATTCCCCTGGGCCAGATACTGCTCCTATTCAAGTCCATACTAAAATGTGTGTTGACTTGAACAGCCTGATCCTGTTCTTACTGCTCTCTTGGGCCTCGGTTTCCCGCACCATAAAATGGGGATAATTCTTACTCCACAGGTGTGTCATAAGTCCAACTTAATTAAAGCTTGTAACATGCTCTGAGATCCTTGGATGAAAAATGCTATAAATATGGGTTTGGCAGAATTAGATTTTTATTCTTGTATACAGTAGAACTTTGGGAATGGAGGTTGTTCATAACTGAAATGTTCATAACTCTGAACAAAATGTTATGGTTGTTCTTTCAAAAGCTTACAACTGGACATTGACTAAATACAGCTCTGAAACTTTTCTATCCAGGAGAAAAATGCTGCTTTCCCTTATTGTTTTAGTAGTTTATGTTTAAGACAGTACTGTACTGTATTTGCTTTTTTGGTCTCTGCTGGCTGATTGTGTACTACTGCTTCCAAATAAGGTGTATGGTTGACCAGTCAGTTCGTAACTCTGATGTTCTAGTATAATTTCAATAGAAATGTCAATGTTTATTTTTAAGCATTTTTTTTCTATTTTCACAGTTGCAGGAACTAAGGGGGGGATGGTGCGATTCAAAAAGTTAAAGCTTTATAACCGTTACAATACAAATTGTCAACATCACATTTCAAAACAAAGTAAATAGCCTTAAATCAGACTCAGATATGTTCTCAAGCAGCATTTCTTTCTTTGCCTATCTGTAAATTTCAGTGATCATTGATGAAAATATTTTGTCATTGGTTTGTGTGTGTACAGTGAAATGATTTTTGTGGATAAATTTATGGATTTATGGATAAAAATCTAATCCTTGCACACCTATATAAATGTACAAAGTACTATGATATATGCAGTGCTTTTCATCTTAAAGGCTTTTCACTAATTGACAAGCATGTGCATGGGGATCTAGTATTTGTGCGTCAGCTGTTTATTTGCATATGTGTGGTCTTTCCCCACACCTTTTAAAATCCTTCTACTGTTTCTGGAGCCTATGGAAAGAGTAAACACAGAGGAAAATATTTTACTTTATTGCTGCTCAGTGACATCTGCTATTTATTCAGATTCACATGGAACTCAAAGGCCTAATAATTGTGATTTATCATCTCCATTATTCTACATAAGAGGAAGTTTGAGGGAGAAGTCAAAGTCCCAGACTTTCAAACTCCTTTCCTTAAACTTAAGCACGTAACTCCAATAGGCAATAAAATCAATAAGTGGACTGATTTTCAGAGGCGAGACGTGTCAGGAGGAAAAAACATTGGTTAAGCTGGAGTTCTTGCAGTCTTAGAGATTCACATGACTGTACTCTTAGCAAAAATGAGAGGACTTCAGAACAGTGAGGAATCCTGGCTGATGAGGAGCACCTCCTGAAAGTGCTGAGCATGGTCATGTCCCATTAGAGTCAAGTATCCTTAGCACTTTGCAGAATCATCAGGTTTATCATGAATGTTAATGTTTTACAAGGTACATCTGGATTGGTTTTAGGCATAGGCTAACTAAGCAACTGTTCAGGGTAATGCATTTAATGGGATATCCCAGAATAGAGCTTGGAACTGTTGTGATCGTTCCTCCATCAGTCAGTCCCACACTCAGTTTCTCAGTCTACCAATTGTTTCTGCTGAACCATGTGCAATAGTCACCTTTGGGTCTTATATCCATCCCAGAATCTGTCTCACTTGAATGTCAGAATTCTGTACCCTAGAATCATTTACATCCCAGAGTTAAAGTGATTTGTAAATATTTTTGTGAATAAACATGGAGGATTCACTCCCTTATTTTTCTTGGGGGGCTTATAGTTATTCACCAGCATGCAGACACTCAGCCATTGGATGGCTGAAAATTTGTACCAGAAATTGCATTATTTTCTATTTGTTATTGTTTAAAAAATTTTCAGCCATTCAATCAGGCAGTGGAAACAATACTATGTGTCATAGGAGTTCAGTCATACACCATGAAAAGTGAATAGCAAATAGTCAGTAAACAATTTACAGAAAGCCCATAGGCTGTCATAAATTCATATAAACTATTTAGCAAAATTTGTGAATGATACCTATGTTTGTATAAACCAGGATCAGTTCTTGAATGACTTGTAAACAAAGTCAGCTAAGCTGTTCAGAAAATAAATAATTTAGACGGCTACTCAAATTTGTTTTATTGAAACTGTTTTTCCCTGGAGAACTGGGTTTTCAGCTAAACAAATTTTTTCATAAAAAGCATCTGCTTTCCATGGGAAATTGGTGGTTGTTGTTGAAAAACCAACTGCTTAAAAACTGAAATATTTGTATTTGGATCTGCCACTGTGGTGCCTTGAGAGCTGCTGTTCATTTGCCTTATGTCTCCCATTCTCCTCTAGGCTCAGGCTTCCATGAAGCACTGCCTCCCCACCAGAGGGAGAGACCACAGTACATCCCAGGAAATTTAATCCAAGCAGGGAGCTCAGCACACAGAGAAGAATTGGGGGGGGGGGGCATGAGGCACCCAAACTGCAGTTCCTAAAAGGCATATCTGAATCAAAATATTTTGGTTCTCAATACTTTGGGGAAAAAAATCCTTCCTCAGGGGGGAAAAAATTCTGACCAGTTCTAATATGCAGTGAATGATTCAGCCAGCTGTCCCCAAAATCCAGACAAGTAATCTTAATCAGTGTCATGCTTCAGTAGGGATAAAGTGACACAGAAAAGTGCCAAAGGGGGCAGGAGCAATCAGAGCTACAAGAAGAGGGGACACAAACCTTGCCATCTACTACACCAAGGAATTTTAGGATGCACTTAGTTGTGCTAACCCCTTTGAGATGAAATGGTCATTTACTTTGCTGATGGACTCAGTGTGTCTACATATACAATTTGCTATGTCATAGTGTATTTAAAAAAAACCAATATGAAAGGGTCATTTTTTAATTCCACATTGGTTTCAGTTAGTGTTCTGAGTTCATCACCCATCCATACCTCTAATACAATTTGATCTTCAAACTATGCATAAAGAAAAGGAGTACTGTGGCACCTTAGAGACTAACCAATTTATTTGAGCATAAGCTTTCGTGAGCTACAGCCCACTTCATCAGATGCATACTCACTGTAGCTCATGAAAGCTTATGCTCAAATAAATTGGTTAGTCTCTAAGGTGCCACAGTACTCCTTTTCTTTTTGTGAATACAGACTAACACGGCTGTTACTCTGAAACTATGCATAGTAGTTCAACTATGCATGGTACTTATTTTGCTTTTCTGAAAGTGAATAATCATCTTATTCAGCCTTTAGCCAGTAGTTCCTTCCCAGGCT